TATATATACCCTACCCCCACTGACACGATGAAGACAATGAAGCCGTTGTTTTGAGTTGATTTTATCGGCTGGTTTACCGGGAGAAGTCGTGCGCTGAAGGCATTATCTTGAATTTCGTAGGCCATGGTTTTCTGACCAGATATCAAACTCGGCATATTTTTTCTAGGTTTCCAGGCTTTTAACAGGTCTTTTTTCACTTAAGTTGGTCAGTGTTTTTGTTTTGACTCATTTCACTATGGAATTCGTTGGAATTCTTTCTGTAGGGTCAGTGCTCCATAGAAATGACCAAGCTGAAAGCTCGGTAGGATGTTGTTTGTCAGTTTCCTGATTAGTACGAGCGTTCTTGTTGTTTCAGTGCTGTACCTTTTCGTGTAGTTCTCATTTGAGTGCGCTTATGTAGTATACAAATTACTCATTCGTATCGATCAGCTTGGCATTCGGTGACAGGTGTCTTATAAGTTCACCATGTTGTCCCTCTCACGTTTGTCTACTTCACAAAACATTTCTGAGTAATGTAACTTCCTTCGGACCTCGAAATTCCATCATAGTACGTCGTAAACCGTTGAATGTATCCACCGCCCAGTGAATTTTGTTTAGCTGTATTCTCTGGAATCGGCTTCCGCTAATCATCTGTTTCAAGAAAAAATGCCCCATCAAGGAGACGTTTTCGTTCCCCTTTGTTTCATCATAAACTGATGTCGTGCTCTTTCAGTTTGAGATTCAGTGAAAATAACCTGACTTTTTTCGAATCCTAAATAATTAGACCAGACTGTCTTATATTCTTGAATGTGTGCATTCTGACTGGAAGAAAGTAGGACCAGATCATCCCATCTGCTTTCCCGGAGATTACCTCTTGGGGGGCACCATCTTAATTTTTAGTAGCATTGAAACCATGAACTAGAGTGGTGTTACGTCCTCATGCAACACTTGTAACACTAGGTGATTGTTCAACAGTCTTGTATCCAATCGGCACCACTTGGTTTCAGATTCCAATCGGCGTTGTGCGTGCGCCTCGCAGACAATATCGTGCCTGAACTCTACTCCGCGTTAATCACAAGCATCCGTAACCGATAACAGATGTGAATACATTCGAAAAAAGAATCATCATACCTGAGTGCTTTGTGTCTGGGTAACTGTCAGCCACCAAAAAGCATTTTTCACTTTCATAAAAGAAACTACTCACGAGGTTGCTGAAAACTCTTCGACAGCTCACGACCCGTTTCGCCCTTCTTGGGGTTCATCAGGTAGGTTTAGACTGTCACCCAAATAGTGCGATCCTGTTCGTGCAACCATGACAGATGATAAATGTCTTGTCGACTTTCTGTATTCTGGAATCTATCTATCGGCTTTACGACAGTAATCATCGAATTAATGAACTGTGTAGCAAAGTTAATTGGCGAGATGAACTCTTTTTCAAATTACGTTGTTTTTAATGAAACCAGATGAAGCTCTCGTCTATGGTTTTCTTATACTAAATGTGGTACACAAAAGAATGCCATAAAGAGGAGATTCAGTGGAGATTCATTTGGATCTCCTCTTAATACCAGCTTAGTTTGCAAATGAGTGTATATGGCGAATTGCGTACATTCTGGTGTTTAAGTCGAACATATGGTTGACAGAAAATCGGGGACTGCGGCTACCTGATCAGCCGTGAGCTGTCGATGAGTATTCAGCAATCTTATGAGTAGTGTGTCCCGTTAAGTTTACTCTATTCTATTCGTTCCTCTAAACCCAAACAGACTTCCATTCGTTCCTAATGCCATACGCTTGTACGGCAGTGAAGCATCAGTGTCAACACTGACGTTGCTGTCTTTGATGATGATGATGATGATGATAATGATGTATGTCATACGCTGTCACTGCTCGCATCCGGCATGTACGGATGTAATCTGCAACAGTATGTAACTGACTGAACGCAATATTATTCTTTCCCTACGTATTTATGTCCTATTCCGTTCTCTTCACAGCAGCAAACCCACAATGTCACATTTCAACTAGAGGCACCTGTTCAGGGTAAATATGACCAACAGGTGTCGCTAGAGACTAACAACGCTCTGAAGACCGGCTTTCAGACATTCTTCATCACAACGCGCGGGATACGCAGACACTCACTCCCAGAAACTCAGGGTGCAATCAAGAAAACATTTGATTTCGCTTTATTCAAGAAAAGCAATGCTATTCCGGGAACACCGCCGCAGCAGCAGCCTGAAGGATTTTGTGGAACCACTGTGATCACCAGTCTCCCCAGTTTGCCCAACTTGCACTTCTTCCATGTCAACAAATCCACGATCAAATCACTCCGAACTGCTTCCGGAAATATTCTGCAGACGCTGTGCGAGGAAATTATCAGCCAAGAACCTAAATCGGACTATTGTCGTGCCTTCGATCTTGATCCGTTCCCTCTCCCCGAAGCCTGGAATGTGACTGGTTCAAATCTAACGTCAAGTATCAATCAACAGTCCACAGTCCACCTCACGGGACTTACTATCAATCTATCTGTTTCCGATTTTATTGCTCTCGCACATCGCCGAAGTAGTGTACCACTGCTTGAGAAGTGATCGTCATGTATGTATGTATTTTCATAAAAATACCTTACTTTGTACGGCCATTTGTGTTCTTATGTGACGCTTAAGCCAAACACCAAGTGAACTGACACTCCTGAAAGGAATCCCATGTTGTATGTGTGTACCATTTCTCATAGGCTGCTCAATTTTTCATTCATCTACACAATTTTATTTTTTTGTTTGACCTTATTCCGAACCCAGACTGCTTGTGTATAGAATATGCTTTATCTTTATATACATATATACCTCGATAATGGGTCGTATATAATTCAGCTTATTTTGTCCTCTTTTCGTCTGTCTCGTGTCCACTTTTCCAGGATGAGGCATCATCTATATTTACCATGCGCGTTGTCCGCTTTCTAGACCCCTATCTTCATCTATCCCCAGTTTGACTACTTTAACGTTGCTTTGTATTTTATCCTGCTACTTTGTTTTTCTGTCCCTTAATTTGGCAAATTCGAATAGGTCAACAAACTATTGGTGCATCACGCCCTCAGTCGCCGATATTTTCAATCGTCTCCAATCAGGCTGATTTGTGAGGGATTGCTCAGTCTATTAAAAGGTCTAGAAAAACGGTCCTCACATTGTTCTGTGTCAGTGATGTAATTTTCTCATGATTTTTGGAGACTAAAAACGGAGTAGCTTTGGGAGGGTAAAGTTGCGTAAATAAATGCAGTTTGGCGCGAAATTGGAGGAAAAACCCGATGCCCCGACAGAATCGTCTCTACCTTCGTCGCTCCATTGTTTTCCACAGTCACCGAGGGTGTAGCGATCGCACAAAGCGCATTTACCTTTTCGATATAACCGCAGGGTCTACAGTGTATTGCGAGCACACAAGAACACAGTGGACCTTCTATCTGAGAAGTCGTTACTCGAGGATCCAGTCAACACGTGTGACCGCGTGATGTGGATCTCGTGATTGAAGGATGAGCGGCGCTATATCCTGTCTAAGTGCGAGTTGATCACACCGTTCACCAGCCGCACGTGGCCGATCTGCTAGCCGGGAGGTCGCGGGATCGAGACTCTCCGGAGTTTCATGAGATGCGCACTGCTGATGATTTCCAATAAGGATGAAATAGCTGTACAGTGCTTCTCGGCTTTTCAGTATAAATCGGCTTCACTTACAAGACGAAATCTTCACAAAAACCCAAATCGCCTCACACTACCAACAAGCACAGTGAATTTCGATTTAGCTAATGTTAGTTGGCGGTTGGAATTTCTAGCACGACAAAGTTTACTGCTCATCGGTTGGTCTGTGGCCGGAACTTGTGAAATTAACACATTGTGCTAGATTTCTGGCTTCCTGAAATCATTCGGCCACAAGTTTGAGAGAAGAAAAAGTGATGGGCGGTGATGATGAACAACGTTCAGTGCATGAACGCGCAACGTCCCGCGGAATTATGCGGATGTCCTAGCTCCCATGGGGATTTCACCATTACGCCCACGGGAGAATTAAGAAACTTTGACGCATACTTTCTATTGTATTGAGCATGTAACTATTGGATAAGTAATAACCTGAGGACGAGAAAAACATTTGTTCGTCAACAATCTTTTAATGACATTATTGGAATGTTTCCACGATTCGAAGAGTTCCCATTTTCCATGGGTCTATTAGTAAATCGTTTCTCAGTGTGGAAATACAATGTCCTGAAAGGTGCGTGACAAGCAAAACAAAGATGTACAGATCCTTTAGAGCAGTTCGCCTTCACATGTTGGGCCGTTTTACGTCTCCAATCTGGACAACATAGTTCGGAAAAAAAATGCAGTGCTTTACGATCTGGGAACTAATATGTCTGAATATCGGTAGATTTGGTGGGTTGATTAGGTGACAGTTGGTCTGTTTGCCGAACTCGTCGGTGCACACGCTGTATGCACGCCAATTGCCAGGCTGGGCGAACTGATCAACAGCCAACTTGGGAAGAATATTTTCCACCATTCTCTGAGCCCATCAACGTGGACCATTCGTGACACCTTGTCATATTGGTTTCTTCCAGTGAATTAGGTTCCTCCATGGTGAACTGACCGAGTCGCTAGGTTTTTTTGGACAACCCGATGTTCGTTGTGTGAGGTAGGCTTTGTCTTTGCGTCCAGGATGTGTATGGTGAAACACCTTCAGCACTGGTTCTTGCTCAACGCCAAGCTGCTAAATTTTTCACGGAATCTCCTCCTTTGAAGCAAAAGAACTGCGATGCCATTTCGGTGGTCCCCGTATTAACGTGCTGCCCGTTGCTTCTGACTTTCGTCTTCTGTTTTCACGATCGATCGTTCTCAGATTCTTCAACGTGGATTGGACGTATGCGACAAGGTCTCACATCAGTTCCTTGATACATCAAAAGTGATGTCATATGTATTTGGCAGTCAAATGTAATTCTGACCTCATTGTCCCATATTTTGACCGACTGCTCAGTGACTATCTCATGCTGGATGGATCGAGATGGCCCAAGTAGGTAGAGCACGAATTTAGTGACCGGAAGATTCGTGATTCGAACCCGACATCCGCCTCTCGACTTCCTCTGTCTAGGTTTGGGCGACCTGGCAGTATCCCAGTCCTCGTGCCTCCTTGGTGTGGCATGGCAGCTAGGCACCCAAATGGCGCTACAGGTGAACAATTATTATTTTTATTATTCATGCTGGATGCAACATACTGGGATTTTCCAGAGTCTGACTGGTTGAACCAATGGCGCTATATTTATCCCAAACAAAAAGCGACTATGTTATGTATGAATCTCTCCCTTTCACTCAATTTTAATCACCTCGTTGACGGCCTGCGATGGTATTGTGAGGAAATACGACAGATCTTACATGGGACACTTTTCTTCTGGTCTATCTTCCAAAAAAATACTCCGATTCACTTATTTTTCGGTCATCCTGTGGCCTAATCTCTGCTGGCTTCACATTGATTCAGCAGTATCTTGACTGATCTAAATGGTCCTAATTCTTCCCTGAGGAAAGCCCGTTTCCTCATAACGTGGTCATCCATGGATATGAATCAAGTCACAGCTGAACAGCCTCTGAGAATACTTATTATCTGGAGTGGTTCAGCTCACTTAGTGTGAATTGTTGCAATATATATAAGCCATACAACCACTTTTGCAGGCGGTAATTTCGTTGTCGACTTCATAAATCGGTACCAGGAATACGTGCTGGAAATCCTAGTTCTTGCCAGCGTCAGTTTGGCCCTAATTTCTATGCTAAAGAGTTTCGTGTTTCCTGGTTCATAAACAGGATGACGCTTGTTGGGAGTCAAAGTTTCAATTTTGAAATTTTGACGTTTTTCGATTATTCTGGTGGTAAGTTTTGAAGGACAGATAAAGGGTTCGTTTGAAGTCTCATCTCTGTTCGAGATAAGCTTATTGAGGGAGATTATAAATTCTGTGGCCTTTTTAACGTCGTTATGTTTTCTAAGGAAGACTGGCGGATCGGTTAATCAACTGCATTATCTTCATTCAGTTTTGTCAAGGATTATCTCTATTGCCTCATGCTCGACTACTCAGCCTGACCAACATAGAAGGCTGGAATTCGCACGTATCCATATTCGTTCGTGCGTTCTATTCGACCGTGCTGTCGTGCTTAGTTGACGATTCGCTTGAAATGAACTGGTTATTGTTCTGGAGCAATGTAGATAGTTTAACAAATAGACAGGTGCATGGAACGTTTCAAGTAACTTGGCATTCTCGTTTTCGATAGTCCGGAATTTCCGGTATTTTCAGGACCACTATACATTCAGCTAATCTGTTCCATTGTCGCTGACATGTTCACACAGTTTCTTACTGAATTCTAGATCTCAGGGAGACCTAGTGTACATTGAGCACCGTCAGAAGTTCTGTTAAGCAGCCGATTGCCCTTATTTCGGGAACAGGATGATCTGGGGCCATACAAGTCTTAATAACTGGTTCACTCTCCCACAAAGCACGTTCGTAGTGAAAAGTGAGTAGTAGAGACAAGCTTTATTTAGCCGTCCTGAATGGCGATATTTATTAAGGAGTGGTCAATTTAGTGTCATAGTGAAGCATGATCTGATGCACTATCAAAATCAGTGATTTAGTAAGTTGATATCACGTTGAATAGTTTTTGCTTGAATGCTCTCATATCAAAGAGCGGATCCACAGGTAACTATTCAGACATTACTGGTGAACTACGTCTATCTTCAGTTGCTACCCATATCTTTTTCACCTGTTTCCTCGGACAGCACTCTGAACATCCTGTGTCCAAATATCGAAGAAAACAAAAAAGAGGATATGGTCATTCAACTCTGTAGTAGCAACACAGCGTCAGATAAACCTACGAGGACGTGTTGAGTTTCAAACCTAGTCCTTAGGAGCTTCGTATTGTAAAGAGGAGAAAAGGCAGACAATAGAAAGCATTCTGCGATTGAAAGGAGCGACAAAAAGTTGGATTTGAAAACAATAAGTCCCAACCCTAGTGTGAATGGATTGAATGGAAGGAGAGATTAGGGTGGGTTAAAAACAACGAGGCCAGCTCAAAAGACTGACTATGCGTGGAAATTGCCATCATTGTTGGACAGAATGAACTGTAGCATGCTACAGGTCAGTGAAGGTGGATAGGATTTCTAGTTTGGTTATTGCCCAAGTGGGGGGGGGCAATCGAGGAGATGGCTTTGAGCTGGCCCAGTGAAACGTACAGACCTGTGGCAGAATCCGCATAACTACTACGAAGTTGAAAACGTGCGAAGGCTTTAGGGGTGCGCAAAATGTTTTCGAATAAGGGGTCAAAGAGAGAACATACTTCATAAGCGCTTCGACCAAGAGAGCCTATTGGTGCCGAAAAATTAAGAGAGAATTTAAACTTTCCGAAATCGAGTGTGGTTTGATGATTCATGAAGGGGTTAGGAACACGTTTTGGACGCACTTTTAGAAATAAAGTTCAGAGGTTTAAAATTACCCGTGATGAATCAAATTGCTCCGATCCTGTGGTCTGGGATACCAGGGAAAGCGACACGTTCAAAATGCTCAAGGTTAACAATCCGCAACAGCTTGAAGATTAGGACGGATGCGGAAAGTATGGACGTCAGTAAAACACGGTAATGTTTCGAAAGAAGCGTGGTCCCCTTTGGATACTCTGGCCGCATACATTGTAAGTTCAGAAGCTCAATAGTGGCAATTTCTCAATACTCGACATACGCGCGTCTCACTTGTGATCAGTCGCCCTCAGTCAAGTGTGAGTGCTCACGCCGTTCGCCAAAATGTTGGGGTTATAATCTATCCAGTGGATTTTTGAGTAAGCGTTCCTTCAGATCCCCACAGGAATGCCATATGCTCTGTAGTGTATCTCGACTTTTCAGTGTACTTTCACTTTCAATGGAGGGTAACTTAAAGACAGTCCGAACAGTTACGCTGTTAGCATTACACATACGTTCAACCGTGTTCTGTTACATTTAAACTATTTTCTAGTCAGAAGGACGTAGCTCTCCAATCCTAGCGAGTACCCTTCTGATGAAGGTGGCGTTTAGGCAGCGTTCTTAACCAGAACCGTCCGTAGAAGAGCGCACCTCTAAAGTTCTGTACCAGTTACCCCTAAGCAAGTAACAGACGCTACGATTCAGACTATCAATCGCAGATGTCGTTGAAACCCGGATTCCTAACCTTGTTGGACTTTGAAACCGATTTTAATCCCTCGAGCAATTTTATTTTTGAGACTTGGGATGACTGTGACGCAATCAGTCTGACCACGTGACCCTTCGACCCATTTCGCAGCTATGCTCAATCATACGCATGCCTTCGGTCTGGAATTATATAATTTTTTGATGTACAGTCCAAGATGAACAGTCATAGAATACAAGGTGCGTTCGCTACCATTTTCCTTATACATGTGTCTTCAGTTGTTTAAACCAATCAGGTTACTGTGAACAGAGCAGTGGAAAGTTTTGTGACTCGAAAGAATATTGGCCGAATTTCTTTCACCGACCCGCAGAGCATGCATAGTGCTCATGAAATAAATCCCTCAGAAGCCACTAGTCATATACAAAATTCATCGAAAATTTTGATTACAGGACACGTGTTTGGACCAATATTTTTTGGACTTATTGGCTTCTTTTTGGCATCGATATATATGTAGTTTTATGTAGTTTTAGCAATTCCAGTTACACACAGCTATACCCGAGATTCCGTCTTCCAGACCAAAAAAGCTTGCACTCCCGACGGTTTGTCCGCTTATTACCAACAAGTAGGCTAACAGACGGCCTAGTTTTATCCAAGACGATGTCCCTATTATCGTAAAACGATAATCCTCCCAGAGCCTAACCACTATGAGGATGGAGACTTTTTCGTCTCGTTCATGGGTTGGATAGCTGTGATCACGAAACACTGTATCATGTTGTATAAAATACCGCAAATATTTGTAGAATTGTAAAATTCCGCTGAGCTTGCTGATTCTCCTGATTGGACAAAAGCAATACGATTTGTTCACATATTTTTCGCCAGACTTATCGATCCCACTACAAACCGTCTGGAAAAGTATTCATGCAGTTTCTATCTTGCAGTGTGGTCATGTACTTAGTTTCGTTTAGTTTTTCAAAGTCCACTCGAACATTAGATTCAGATGATTAGTTATTCGTGCGACTTCGTCATGTTGGCCCCAAAAGCCTACTAAATCTCGCAGTACTGTCCGGCGACTTTACAACTTTCGAAAAGTTTATATAGACATTTCTAGATAGTTCATAGATTTCGTTTCCAATATGACGTACTGCGAAACGAGTTCGAAACAGTACTTGAGTAATAGCGACAAGACTGTAGCCCCATCATGCAATGCGGTCTACGGAATGCACTCAACCTTACACTAAGCTTTTCGAATAATCGCCTCAGTAACTAGTGAAATAACAATCTATGCCGGAAGACGGTGTAACGATGAATGAAATCTGCTACAGTTCGATGATAAAACTTTCAAGACCATGTTAACATCAGAACGCACCTTGTGGTTTTCACTGATCTAATAACGCGTTTTGCGTGTGAACCCTTTTGCATTTTTGATGGCCAATCAAGAAACTGCTCATTCTTCCAATTCCACTCCGTAAAGCTTCGTTCAATATTACCTAGTGGTCTTCCTAATGTAGCTTGATTCCTCCTCAGGCAAACCACGCTAAATGTGGTCTCCTTTGAGGACTAATCACAATGGTGTCTCCACGGTCTCACTGGAAGACGAGAACTATATCATTATCAGGTTTACCACTCGGACTACAAAAAACCGCAGGGCAAATCTTTCTTTTAATTCTCCCATATGGGGAAATTACTTCACTTACTGTTAAGAGTTTTGTGGCATCACACATATCGGATATATTCGGTCTTATTTCGCACTGATAGAATTATCCTGACACGAGTCTCCATGGGTGCGTTTACGCAATCTCTTCTTAGTGCTCACTATGAAATCTTCACAACCTGAGGTTTTATGACGCATAGGTCTGGGTAGTTTACTGGTTGGACATATACACACTGACCGAATCGTCCGTGGTTTGAAACACGACATCAGTATCCCGACAGCTTCTGTCTTGCCTTATGAAACATGATAGCTTCCGTGCTTCCGCCGGATGACACGGCAGCTGGTAAATGAAAGGTTACTTCCGAACGCTTGATATTTATATTTTATGCCCGGACATCGAAACTTGGGAACTTTGGGAACTTTGTTCCAGAATTTCGTGGTGGATTTATTAACTGCCCTCCTGAAATGGATTCCTTAATTTTCGCGTCTGTTTTAAGGCCATCTTGAACCGTATTAAACTGCGAATATCTAGCATACGCCATATTATTTCATAAAGAACACAACGCAAATTTCCGTTCCTTCATTGTATCAGTGTTGTATCAGTCGTTTCTGTGTGCACGTGTTATCAGCCTTACTGGAAGGGAGAAAATTTGGTTATGCGTTGGCTCTCTAGTCAAAGAGTACAAGCTTCGTTTTATAGGCAGTGTCCTCAATCCCGGTGTTTGAACACACTCAGTTTCCTTATTTTGTTTTACCGGATTAGTTACCTCTTCAGACATTATCCCGTGTGTCGTAGCAGATAACCTTACCTCTAAGTGAAGCCAATCTATGCTGAAAAGCCAAGAAGTACTGTACAGCTGTTTCATCCTTATTGGGAATCATCAGCAGTGCGCATCTCACGAAACTCCGGAGAGTCTCGAACCCGCGACCTCCTGGCTAGTAGTTTGGTTAAGTGTTCAAACTACTATCCAGGAGGTCGCGGGTTCGAGACTCTCCGGAGTTTCGTGAGATGCGCACTGCTGACGATTCCCAATAAGGATGAAACAGCTGTACAGTACTTCTTGGCTTTTCAGCATAGATTGGCTTCACTTACAGGACGAAATCTCCACAAAAATCTCAAATCTCCTCACACTACCAATCTTACCTCTACTGAACTGAAGAATTTTCGGGCATCTCCACATAAGGCTGAGGGCCCAGGTTGACCGCGTGTTTGCAAACCCTACTGGTATCCCTCTAAACAACCGGTCTACACTTGGCTATTCAAATTATTACCTTGTTTTTTCCAAAGAAAAATCGAATTGTCGAACGACACTACCGTACTCTCAGTCTCAATCACGTAATCTCACTGGGAACCTTTTTTCTAGTATGGGTTTCTCTTTTTGTATAGTGTGTTTTTTATAAACACCTTAAACACGCGTAAAACCTACCTGTGTAGATCCAGAACCACTCAAATCAAACCTGAAAAGTATATTTTGCGTTGAGTCATCTTCGGAGAAATAGTGAAGTAAATGTCACGAATGGGCACTGCCTTCGAGTCTTCTTAGCAGCATTCACACCGATACTTTACTTGGCTGCACTACTGTGTGAAGCAATTTTGTGATAACTTGTCCCATTGTTACACAGTCACTAATGGTCTAGAAACTCAGCTCACAACAAATTCTGTAGATGAAAAGATGTTCATAGTGAAATCGAAGAGTTTCTACACATCTAATGTCGAATCGCCACTGTCGGATCTCAGAAAATTGGTTACAGCATTGTCCAATCAGAATTTAGCCGGCAAAAAAACAACTGATTGCTGAAGATAAGTCCGGTGGCTTCCTGCTTGTGTTTTTAATGTTTTTCCTAAAGTATGCTATAGTTGGGAGTTAAGCAGAGTCAGTTGGTTGAAAGTACACACCCGTTCTTGTACAAACACTCGCGCTTTACGCTAGACGCCATCACAGTCCTTTTGCCTTCACACCCTTTAAAAATGAACAGGAAGAAAAATTGTAAGTTTACTGTCCAGAGTTTGGCGACCATGTGTTTCCGCCGGTAGAAACAACAAACAGCACCTGACCAATCATGTAGATTACTGTTTTCTTAGTGAAGCCAGTTTATATATATATCTAGATAAACAAGAGCACTAACCTATATCAGCGCGAACTGGCATTTTACAGGGCTCTTCCTCTATGCTATTCTTTTACCTGGATTCAACTGGCTTACCGGTTTCCGACTTTTTGTATTGATGATCAAGTGATTCTTCATGATCATTGCAGTTCAGAAGTCGACTCTACGACCTGACTGAATGAATTGCTAGCGTTTCAAGTGCCCCTTACTTGGAGCAGGAGAACTTTAGATCTTGTTGGGACATTCCAACCTCTCCCCATCGAGGGTACCCCTTTTCCAAGTCCAGCTGATGTGACATAACTTGGTGATATTATGACAGTAACCTGAGTTGACTATTGAAGTAAATTTACCAAAGTTCGACTACTTTAATTTCATGTTCTGAGACTGACGGTGCTATATGCTGCTTGAATTTCATCCGTAAATCCAACACATCATATCCTTTTTCGACTAGCTCTTCTGTTCCCTTTTGGAAGGAAATTACTTTCACAGCTTCAGTGTGTCATGGAATCTCGAATTGATCGGTAATCCCTCTGGGGTTGTGTTTTTGTTTGCAATGTATATAGCTAAAGGTTGAAGATTTGTACAGCCTTCCAAATCAGCCCAAATCAACGCCTCATATGATTTAGTTGATACATAAACAAGTATGCAACCTTGTATGTGGAGTCAGTTAAATCAAAGGTTCCTAAACGATTCAACGCCAGCCGGTCTACTATTCTGACGTAGCTATCCAGGTTGGAATTAGGGTACTTACGCCGAACTATTAAAAAAATGATCCAGGGTCGCACGTAGCTGAAGCCCACTTGCGGATAAGATGTTGCGTCGGAACATTCTAAGAGCACGAATCACAAGATAATAGGTATCAAAATGCCGAAAGCGTTGATAAGTTGGACAAACAGAATCCTTAGCAGATAGATAAATAATGGATTTATGTTGACAGCTCTAATCGGACGAATTGCATTCTACTGCCCATAATGCTTCACATTTTCAACCTCGAATATATCCGCTTACAGCAATAAACCTTTTCCAACGCAGCTNCTTACAGCAATAAACCTTTTTCCAACGCAGCTGCTTCCCTACACATAAATTTTTCGGACAAGCGGGTCTCTTTAGTGTTCTTAACCTTTATTGTTCTTCACGCAAGAGATCTACTGCATTTGGAGTGCAGTTCTCGAGATCACTTTATTGCGTCCTTAAACTGGATGGGCATCCCTCCTACATTTTTCTCAACATGAAATCCCATTCGGTAGTTCCTGGAACTCGCGTAGAGATCCTCCAATTCCATGATAGTTTTCTCGTGTACCTTCTAAAAACACCGAGAAAGGATGAAATCTTCAACTTGTGGGTCCCCTTAATCTGGTCCATTTCACAGAACCTCCCATCCGTAGAATAAAACGGGACCAATGCAAAAACGCCTGCATATCAAACATATCTACACACATTATTATTCATGAATGACTGGCTTTCGAATCGGATTCTTGGGTCAGCAGTGGATGTTATTCATGAATACATGTGAAATGGGCGAAGACGTTTTGATGTAGCTTGTGCTGAGAAAGTGTGCCAAATACGTTCCGCCTACGGGACAAAATCTTAATGAAAAATTGCCAGTGTGCTGAATTTCATCCCGCTTGACAAAATTCTGTCATTGATTTTTGGCCTACAAATACAGACTATCATTCACATCGATTCGCGTGGTACGCATCTAACGTATCTAAACAAACCTTCCGTTGAAGTAGTCGAAATTCACAGTTACCCCTCCCAGCAGACGATTGGATTTTCTTGAACTTTACCCAAACGCATGGGGGCTTCGGCAACCAACGAGTTGGCATCTGTTCAAAATTCCGCGTCTTGACAAATGTCAGGAGGAGGAACGTGTCGGTTTGTCCTCGTACTATGGAATGTCGAACTAATTTGCTGTGATTTTCACCCACACCTCAGCCCTAAATCTCAAAACGAAGTTCGTCGGTTGACTACTGGTCACTAAGCTGCAAAACAGGTTGCCATCTGAAACAGGCAAACTAAGAGTGGTCATTCAGAAATTGTGTCATCCTCCTACAGAGTACAAAACAGGCATCCATGTTTTCGATAAATAAACTCATTTGCAAGCCAAATTGATTTCACGGGAGACTCAAGCGAATCTCTCGTTCATGATGTTCTTCAACTGAATGTGTTGCCCATAGGCCGCCTCTTGTTTCAGTTAGTACGATACCTGATGAGCCCCAAGAAGGGCGAAACCGGTCGTGGGCTGTTGAAGAGTTTTCGGCAACCTTGTGAGTAGTTTCCTTTGTGAAAATATACTGCGATATTTCGAATATCGTATGAACTGAAACACGAGGTGACCTGTGTGCAGTACAGTCAGTTGAAGAACATCATAAACAAGAGACTCACTTGAGTCTCCCGTGAAAACCAGATTGATTTGCGAATGAGTGTATTTGTCGAAATCAGTCTAATTTGGGTTCAAGTTGGACATAAGATTGACGGAAACTCGAGGACTGTGCCTACCTGTTGAGCCCCAAGAAGGGCGAAACCGGTCGTGGACTGTCGAAGGCATCCATGTCTGTTACGAACGTATCTGAAATTCATCTGAGTTTCGTCTACCCTCCTTTCCATCTGCAGGCGTCTCTTTGTAAATAAGTGTAGCACATCTCAAAAGGGCTTCAGGTTTGAAAACTTTCCAGCGCCTTAAAAACAAGTGTACCTTCCCCATATCTCCCCGAAAATCATTTTGGAGATTTCTTATCACAAATTCTTGCCGGTGTTTGTCAAACAAACCATGTGACTAACTGACTGTTCGAGGTGACACCGAACATAATATCACCTTCAGTTGATATTCGCCCATGCAATTCACAGGCATCCAGAGTTGTTGGGTCTGTTGGAAGACTACTGAGCCGCCTAATGCACAGATCCCATCTACCCCATATCCAAATTGTTGTTATTAACGAGTAGATGGTGTGCTGCAGGCAAATTTTTTGGTTGACGTCTCATGAGGACAGGCCTGGATGCTCTCACAATGGACATTAACAAAACAAAATTCGTTGGCAGGCGAATACACAAATGATTAGGAAATGTTTCACACCGTTGTTGGGGTGGTACTTAACCAGCATCACGGTGTACAACTGGTTGAGATTGTGGAAACCTGCACAGCATTTGAGATCTCACTAGAACCGGACATTAATGGCACCTAGCTACCCGGGTTGCGAGCCAAGATAGCTGAGGTGCCCCTACATTCTATACCTGAACACAGAGTGGAGGGTCAAACAATCGAATCGCGATTGCGACAAGCCTTGTTTGCCTATAGATGATCTGATAAACTGGCCATGTAACGAGTGGTAGTTCTGTTCCTTCCAAAACTCCAGATGTTCAGCAGACTGCTGAGCCGGTAGTAACACAAGATCTATGTGGAAGAATGGGGAAATGCAGCTGTGGGATCCCTCATTTTGTCCCAGCACATTTGTGCAGATGAAGAGTAGGCTGCCAAATAAGTGACTGGAGTTATTGGTAACTTTCCCCGGGAAAATAAGTTACCGTTTTGCTCTCACACGTTAGGCACATGTTAACAGGCTTCCTCTCTTTCGCATCCGGGTCCTGCGTTCGGTCTTTCTCGCAAACAGACGTTTTAGAAACGATCGTATTGTGGCTAATATATATTCACTTCATATGTCGGTTCACCCCTCTGTATTTGTTCGCACACATGATTTGTAAACGCTTTCGCTGTTTAACAAGGACGACGACTCTGATAACCGCACATGCAATAAATAAAGAAGAAGGTACTGACTCTTATCACGTCCTCTGTCATTCACCGAGAGATCTGGGTGTTCAGAGGAGAATGTGGTTGTCTTCGAAGTTCGCCGCGACAGTGACAAGTAGTCGGCTCACCGGTGTTACCTTTAGATGTAGACTCACCTTCTTGACTATCTTGTGAATTGCTAAAGTAGCTGAACCTGAATTCCATCACATAACTCTTATTTATATTAACTGTGCGTGGCGCCATGGCCTTCCATTCTTGCAGTATCCAGTCCGTTCAGCTGATTTTCATTCGTGGGACATACGCACTCACACACACAGCAATCACCCTCTGTTGTCCAACCGTCACCATACTAGCCTAAATAACTCCGTCGCTGAAATGCAGCAATTTATTGATGTTAGCACACTGACTATCAAAAGATCAGGTATTCTTTGGCTGATTAAATAGAAAAGCTATTATGAGACAATATATGAGACACAATGCAACAAAAACTTTTCTGGCACAAACCTGAAATATACGTGAATGATCTGATTGTTTACCATTCGAATCGAATCATTTGTTATTCACCTTCTATTTGGTAGCTGATACACACCCCAAAGAATTCTCAAAGGCTGACTTATAAACAGGTTACCCATGCTAAAGCCGGTGCAGCCTACTGATAAGAGGTGAGCTGTGGACCTCTCAGGCCCAAAGTCCACACAATAGGTAGCTTATTCTTTCAGCAAAGTGATGGAACCTCCGACTATAACGATACCGCCCGTACTTTTGAAGTACTTTATTCCATCAAAGCTCTTCTTGATTACTCTACATGAAGCGTGGTTAATGTTCTGTTATGCTGAGATGGTGCTCGAGTGCAAAACTAAGGCCAATACCTTGCTACCCTGTGTGGCTCGACAACAGTCAATTCTGGGGCCACATGAGCGTAATGACCGAAAGCATTGAGATGAAACAAAACATGCCTAGGGCGCACTCACGTACTTTGTTATGTGATGAGTTAAAGTTATCTCTCTCTCTCTCTCTCAGGTAACATTGCTACCGTTCGACACATTGTTTGCCACCAACCTGAATATTTGCATTTGATGTTCTGTCGTAGAAGACACAAAAATGACATCTAAATACCCTGGCTAGTTGCTAGTTGACTAAGCTTGTAACCCATCGTCTAGAACGTCATTTTTCCAAGGCTTCGTACCACCAGACTATCATTACCGTACACTCGTTCACTGAAACGTTCGAATTTTGCGTTACATATGGTCTATAGGTGTCTTGCAGGACGCACGGCAACTGGTAGGCCATCCCAAGTTGAATTTTGTCCACTATACCCTTGTTATACGAGCCAACTAAAATTCAACGCCACTGTAATAGCTGGTCATCATGTGTCCTAGTGTTTTCCTAATACACACCACATCTGTTTTCCGTCATCAGCTTCAGTGATTCACGGATTGACACAATATTTTAACCCACAACCCAGACTGCACCACTGTACAACACGTAATAGAGTGTCCTCTACTTTCGACTTTGGCAGTGTTAGAAACTCGCGTCTTTACGGCTACCGGCTTACTATTTTCATGGTTGTACCTCATACCATTCTCAAAGGCTATCATAATCAAGCGGCCAAATACCGAGGACCGCGCTGTTAAAATTGACCTTTGTATCAGCAAAAACCTTTACTGTACTGTCTGATTGTTATCTACATAAGTTGCTTCCTAGCCGAACATCCTCCGGTTCGAGAAGTTCTTCCTCAAGAGAACTCAATAACAATAAATTTTCATCTAGAAGTATCTATAACTTGTGTGAGGATTTCTTTCTATTGGAAAGCAATGCATTCAGGCTATGCTGGCAAACCATATGCAATTGTCTCTGACTGCATCACTGGACGCCTTTATATGGGTGGCTGACATGTGGGTGGATATGTTATTGGGTGTGAGCTAATGAATTCACTGTGAGTCCGAAGAATCAACAGAGGCCTTTTGACAGACATCAGCCGGTAGAAATATGATGACATTAAAATGAATACCAGTAAGGGATGAAACTTTGAGTGGCCGGTGTCATCCATCAATTGTTTTACGTTCCAGTATTTTGCCGCGCATTTCCCCTCAAAATACCGTAATCTCGTCTCCTGGGGGGCTGTCCAGGACGAACCATTTTGTTTGTCGTGGTGAAAAAAGCGGCATAGAAGCATTATCACTATCGTTTGGTTTGTTGGTGATTAGAACGAGATTACCTCAACCTGTCCACCGACGTTTTGCGAGGGATGGCTTGTTTCCCATGCACCTTATACTTCTAGACAATGAGATCCGCGCCATACCTTCGTATATGACTTTTCGCCAGCTGTCACTCTAAGGCCAGTATACTGTGCAATCTGAAATGAAACAGTATTTCTTAAACGCAGCTGATGTCCGTTGCTATATCAGCCTTTCAGTCGTCTTCGGCCTTGCGGAACGCACTAGCTTTCAGCAATGCAGCCTGACTCCACTTGTTCCATGTGGCCTAACCGACGCAGTTGGCTGAGAATTGAGTTGCCGTCAGTTCTGCACAATTTCCCTTTCTGGGTATTGCGGATCCGCTCAGACCAATATACACGTATCATCCTGTGCGTATTAAGTAGACGAAATTGATCAAGGGGTCGGTTTTGATACCGTTATATCGTTCAGTTCTCGCTACCGCACAGTGTGAACAATACAGTAGCATTTTACACCGCGATATTTTGTCCACCCACGGGTATTGATTGTTCCAAACAAGCTTTTAACCTTCCAAAAGCGGAGCTCGCCTTCGACGTTCCAGAGCTCAAATCGATATTAATCGTTTGGCGGGTGAGCATGGAGCCGCTAGGGTGGCAGAAATCTGGAAATCACAATATCTCACTACCACTAACCGACATGTTTAGTAAACTTTTGTGGCCTCCTGGGGCTAGCTGATGAAAAAACAAGGTTTTTCGGACGCTACAGATCGAAATGGCATTGTTAAACATTACAATTCCGCTGCATACTCTTCAGCAAAGCGCACATTTCAGGTTATCTGTGGTATCCCTGTGATATTTTGAAGTGAACAGGTAACCATCTTTGCTATAATGAATAGCCATACCATCTTCAGAGCGCCGGAAGTCCTCATTTATACTGCAGTTAGATACAGACTGAATAAAAGAGTCTTGGTTCTGCCCGTTTTAATTTCGAATGCTATAAAAATAGCTCCCCTTTCATGGAGTGCAGAGGCTGGACAAGAGTGACAAATTCGTTTGTACGACTGAGAACCCAAAATATTTCTCTGTTCGTCGAACAGAACACTTTCGTGAAGTCAGCAGACATGAAGCGGTTGACTCCGCTCATGGCATTTCTATCGTATTTGTCTCACTGTGGTTAAATCAACGGTACTCCGTTTTCTCCGAAATGCATAGTGTTTCTCTGGAACAACTTGACCCAAATGTCTTTGTTTATCCTATTGACCAGAATACAAGTCAGAATTTCGCCAACGCTAAAAGCAGGCTGACTCCTGGGTAAGTGTCTGCTTTCCATTGGAATCTTTTTCTCTCTGAATAGCGTCATGGTTTCGGCGTTTTTGAATTCTTATGAAACATCTTCAGCATACCACACTGAACGGATTAGATGGATAACTTTATGTCGTGGTTTTTGGCCACGAAGTTTGAACACACTGTTCAGTCGTTCGGTATTTCTACAGATACTGTTTCCCTATATGTTCGAAAATGTGTGGATTTATTCCGGCGTTAGACTATCGTCTATATCGTTTTTTTGATCCCATTGTTTCCAATCCATTTCTGACAGGCGGTTAAGCGTGTTGGACAATTGAAGCTACCACGAACTTGATATGTCCTTATTTCTGTGAACTTCTGACTCATTCGGATGCTCCAAAGAAGTCACGTGCATTTGGCTTTGGGTCCATAATCTCCTTTCATAGCTCTGAATAACTATCTTTTCAGAAGGGCTTGGTAAACAATCGGTAGTTTTCAACTGGGCAACATTTCGCTTTTCACACAAAGGCCTCATCGGGCCAAGGAGGAGTGATCATCTGAATTCCACTTAACCTTACCCACCTCCCCTTCCCCCCAACTAAACTGTCGCAGCATCCACAAGTCCGCGGAGAACAACGAAAATCATCTAGTGGCACTCGCGGTGAATCATCAGCTGAAGCACCGTGAAGTGGAAGATTAAGGAACAAAAACCAATCGGAACTATTTGTAATGTACTACTCATAAGGTTGCTGAAAATCCATCGACAGCCCACCACCGGTTTCACCCTTCTTGGGGCTCATCAGGTAGGCGCAATCCCCGGGTTTCCGTTAACCTTATGTTCTACTTGAAACCAAATTGCACGAAATTAGCGAATATACACTCATCTGCAAACTAATTTGGTTCTTTCGAGAGACACACCTGGAACCCAGCTGAATCTCTCGTTTATGATGTTCTCAGGCAACTGAATGTGCTGCAACAGGCCGCGAAACCCGTCGTGGGTCGATGGATTTTCAGCAACCTTATGAGTAGTACATTACAAATATACATGCATCGCGATATTTCAAATAACGTAGCGACTGAGTCACAACTGGAACACTAACACTCAGTGAGCCCGATGTGACGCTTGTACCATATCAGATCCATCACCTTCAATCGCACCAACACCCAATTCGAATTCTATCTATTTCAAAGCCTCAGTGAACTGCTAGGATGCACACGCATTCGCAACACGGCATACCATCCACAAGCAAATGGTTTAGCGAAACAATTTCATCGACATTTGAAGACCGCTGTACAGTTCAGTGAGGCTTTGAAATAGATAGGTTTCGAATTGGGTGTTGGTGCGATTGGGGGTGATGGAATATCTTGTGCTGGAGGATCTGATATGGTACAAGCGTCACGTCGGGCTCACTGAGTGTTAGTGTTCCAGTTGTGACGTAATGAAGTTGATTATCAGAAGGTAGCAAGCACTAACATATGCCTGTTTTACCAGAATGATGATGAATCGAATAGTTAGATGCATCTGATAAAAATAGATACAATGCGGAAAGTGGAATAAGCCAAAAAGTGACTTATTGTTTGAGGACACATGTTGAGAGTTCCTGAGTGAAAATCCGGACGCGGGACGTGTCTTCTCTGCAGTATCGCTGCTACACGTGTTCGGTAGTTACCCGTGGAGACCTGTGGAGCTCGGTTGACTTCCTGTCCTGTGAGAACACGTGTGTGTTGGGCTGAGTTGTGTACGTACAATGTGAAGGGTGGGGTGTCCCTTCGTGTTTGATGCTTACACGAACATGAATACAACTTGATCTGATGTGGTTGAAGTTCGTAAGCCTGTCGTCTGACGCCGGTAATAGTCGCGTCAACAAAAATGGATGGGAAGTTGTAGTGTACATGTTGTCGGCTAAGGTCGCAAGTGGGACGGGAATTGATCTAGTGAGTGTCCGACCGCCATAGTTCTCCGTCTGTCTTAAACCTTGGCCAATTTGGTGACCTCTTCACTTTCTTGATGAAAAAGGTTGCCCAGTTAAAAAATACCGATTGTTTACGAAGCTTTTCTGAAACGACTTCTCAATCAGTTCCAAACATTCTGCAGCTCTGAAGGACTAGTTACGAATATGGCGATCAGAGTACCACCACACTCTTCCACGACGTTTTATCCACCATTAACTTTTCAGCTCATGAATGAATACCTCTGGATTGCATACTGCGTTTATGGATCCATTTTTGGAATCATAGCTTGACGGGTTCTTCAGTACTGTAGTGAAGGCAAGTTCTTCTTTTCAGTTCCGAACGAATTCACGGTATCATCTGCATCAAACAGATCGTTTGTCGCTAATTTTTTTATCGCGGTCTTCTTCGATGCAGCTCCAAAACATTCCAACATTTGCCAACTGACCATCAAAGGATTAGTTTGAACAATTCTTTATATGACATTCCCTGAAAAATTTTCAGTCTTCCGGTCTTCTGATTTCCCGATTTCCAGCCTAATAGATTGCTTTTGGTTAGTGACGGAATAGTTTTCTCAAGATGACACTCAACGTCAGTCGCATGAAAGGATGCGTCATGCTGCCTTCATCATCATGCTTCGGCAAGCATATTCTCTCTGAAGGCTCCTTGTCGGACAATGATATAATCAGTGATGAACTTTCATGAAATCTACGAACAAGGTGTGTGAAAATTTGATCGATATTCAGTGTCTTTGCAATGAAGCATCAAAGCCAACGTCAATCTTGCTGTCTTGTAGGCTAAAAACAATGCCAAAATGTCGCTGGCCTTGCCGCACTCGCTTTCACTGTCCTTACAGGATATTTCCTTCCACTATAGCATCGTTCAAACGGTTGGCCAGAATAAGCGTCAGAATGTGCCTGGAGTGAAAAGAAAATCAGTTTCTCTGTGGTTGTCCACTTCCTGTTGGCTTCCTTTCGTTAAGTGATGATGGCATCATGACGTGCTTTGGCAGTTTTGGGACATTAATGATTCGCCAGATTCCGTCTTTGGGGCGAAAACCTCGTCTTCCGTCTAGTCGATTCGAACATGTTGGCAGGCAATCTGCCGAGTCAGTCTGCTTGAAGATCCGGACACAGTAAAGATGCAAGATCTTTTAGTATGACCTGCATAAGATTGTCTGTCGGCTCCTTAATTCTCATCATCATTTCTTCATGCTGCACTCATTGTTCAAAATACTGGTCCATACATTGCAAGGCTTCTCCTAAGTCTGACAAATGCTGGGGTGTGATGCTAAAAGCTGCATTCTTTCCATTGGCTAGAGAAGAACCAGTCTTGATATCGAGTCCGACAGGTGCAATCACAGCACTTCACAAATTGTCCTCTAGCATTTTATGGTTTCGAAGTATAAAAAATTAAAATAACGGTAATAGTGCACCCGATCTTCATTCTGAATCTAATCCGTTTGTAAAAGGTTTGAAAGTGCATGTTTCTAGGGATCAATCTTGAGGCAATATCCATAGCTGATGAAACAACTCCAAGCAAAGCATATCAAGTTCTCCAAACATAGTCAAAGACTGCAAATTTTATCCTTTTAAAACAAGTGTTTCTGTTTTTTCAATGCACTGTACTACTTCCATACGATTGCGAGGGTGTAAAATCTCCAAGCGGCCGGAGGAACGAATTGCACACTTTTAGTCAGTTTATAGTTTTTTCCTCCCAAAATCCACCCCCACGGAAGGGGACCACTCAACAAAGAATCCCACGGTAAGGATTCCCTTCCGGGTTTCCATTTGGACTAGTCAAAACTCACCTTACAGCGACTGAGACTGTTACACAGGGAATGTCTTTACCTCACCCGTCTAATGAATGTGAGGATCCTGACCAGCTATCGAAGATTACTTGTGTCAGAGCCACAGACAAAATAGGCTATCAGACACAGACTAAAGCTTACTTAGCTTCTTATGTGTTTGAAACACGTGTGTAACCAGTCAATCTGGCTAGTTAATGATCTCAAGCCTAAAGACACATTCAATACTTCATCAATTTTAGTGTTTTGCACAGGCAACCTTTTTAGACTATTGCTGTTTTGCGAATCTATGGACCATGTACTAGGATGTTGAGTGTGACCCCGAGACTATGAGAAATCAAAGCGTTAGATTAGCAGCCTTTTTTGAGACATATTTTCATAATATGGTGTTGTTCTCTCACGGACCGACAAAAGTTTATGATTACAAAATACCGTATGCTCAGACGATGTTATAAATGAATGAAGATTCCAGTTGGTTGTTTGCTGGAGACGAGAGAGCATCAAAATGTTTCGAACATCATTTGTACAGTCTGTTCAGTAACTCAGAAGGTTGCTTTGAATTAAAAGTCATAAATATTAATGAATTGTTAAAAAAACTCAGTGTCGGTTAAAATCTGTTGAAATTTGGGGACAGCCTTGGTTATTCAATGCACAATAGTACGCTTCAAACCTTGCTTTAGGGTTGCGTAATCTTTCGCAGATTTTTCGAACAGGCTCTGTCCTAAATACAGGCCCAATTTGTGCTCCTTTCGTAACAGCCCCTTTTTGTGAATTCGATATAACTATTGGCCACTGATTCTATGTCAGGATATTCGTATAGAAGAAAGTGTTCCGGTTGACAGCCATTTGTGGTTGGAAATTGGCGACGAAAAGTCAACAATGAAGACAAAACT